CTGCTGCTGCTGCTGCTGCGCCGTGTTTCCGTTGAATTTTTCGAGATTTCACACCCACCGATTCTGGCCGTCGGGCAGATGTCGCTCGACTGCTGCGCAACTTCTCTAAAATTCAACTGCCACTCTCTCCGAGACTCGCATTGACATCTGCAGGCATCACTTGTCTGGGCTCTCATCACCTTCACCACCATCACTACCACCACCACTCTCACAGGCATCAACACCTAAGGTCCTTGCAAACACCCTCACACGCAGATCAAGGTCAGCTGTATCGCAACCAGCTTTCCCCGCGGACCGTTCTCAAGTGCACCTCTCAGCACCGCACAAGTGTCCATCTTGACTTCTAGGACATCAGCTACGGCCAACCTCCAACGAGGCTCTTAGCACCGCAACACCAACCAAAAGCTGCATAAACCCACCGCACAGAACACATAGCCATCATGGTCAAGGAGACAAAGTTCTATGACCTCCTCGAGGTATCCCCCACCGCCTCCGAGGCGGAGCTCAAGAAGTAAGTCGGCTTCACAGCCATCGCCCCAGCGCAGGCTATCCCCACTTCGCTCTCACACAAGTGCTGACCAAGATCGTCACCCTGCTTTTGACCATAGGGCCTACCGAAAGAAGGCGTTGAAGGAGCACCCGGACAAGGGTGGCGACCCGGAAAAGTTCAAGGCCATCACCGCTGCATACGAGGTGCTCGCCGACTCGGACAAGCGCGACCTCTACGACCGCTTCGGAGAGCAGGGTCTCGAGGGCGGCGGAATGGGTGGCGGCATGGACCCACAGGACCTCTTCTCCCAGCTCTTCGGCGGCGGAGGCGGCGGCTTCTTTGGCGGTCAGGGCGGCCGCCCGCGCGGCCCACGCAAGGGCAAGGACCTCGTCCACCGCGTCAAGGTCTCGCTCGAGGAGCTCTACGCCGGCAAGGTCACCAAGCTTGCGCTCCAGAAGCACGTCCTCTGCAAAAAGTGCGACGGCCGCGGCGGCAAGGAGGGGGCCGTAAAGACGTGCGGCGGATGCAACGGCCAGGGTATCAAGGTCGTGCTCCGACAACTCGGTCCCATGGTGCAGCAGATGCAGCAGACCTGCCCAGAGTGCCAGGGCAACGGCGAGATCATCAATGCAAAGGACCGCTGCAAGGAGTGCAACGGCAAAAAGATCAACCAGGAGCGCAAGGTGCTCGAGGTGCGCATCGACAAGGGCATGGAGGACGGCCAGCACATCACCTTCAAGGAAGAGGCCGACCAGGCGCCCAACACCATCCCCGGCGACGTCATCATCGTCGTCGACGAAAAGCCACACCCGCGCTTCAAGCGCAGGAAGAACGACCTCTACATCGACGTCGAGGTCGACCTGCTCACAGCGCTCGCCGGCGGCAAGATCCTCATCGAGCACCTCGACGACCACGCCCTCTCCGTCGAGATCCCCGCAGGCGAGGTGATCAAGCCCGGCGACGTCAAGGTGCTGCGCGGTCAGGGCATGCCCAGCTACCGCCACCACGAGCTCGGCGACCTCTACGTCAACCTCAGCGTCGCCTTCCCCGACTCGATCGACCTCGACGCCATCCCGCTCCTCGAAAAGGCGCTCCCACCGCGCAACGCCTTGCCGAAGACCAAGAAGGAGGTCGACGTTGAGGATGTCCAGATGGACGACCTCGACGAGCGCGAGGCGCGCAACGCCAAGCCCAACGGCGCAGGCGGTCAGCACATGGGCATGGACGACGACGACGAAGACGGTCCCGGCGGCGGACCCCAGGTGCAGTGCGCCCAGTCCTAGGCTTCTCTCTTTTCCACAGCATCTTCCATTTGGTTACCCTCCGACGATCATCCCGTGCACCACACACACACACGGTTCCGCGCTTCTCCGAGTTCATCTCGCTCTGTTCTTGCAACGTAGATTCTCGTCCCACGCACGCACACACACGCGCGCCCGAGTGTCGCTGCGGGGAACCCGTTGTGAGTGGCTCCACACGCCGCATACATCGAAACACGCAAGGCAGCTGGTTGTGAGTTGAGACAACTTGGTGAATCGGCTCCAAGAGAATCAAACGCAGGAAGGAGGTGTTACGACGCAAGCGCACAAACGCGGACAGGGTCAAAGAGTCAAAGAGTCACTTCTGAGGGGCCAGATTATGGAACGGAGCAAGGTGAGGTGGCATTAGGGTTGCCAGAGCTGGTACTGAGGCGGATTCAGTTGCTTGTCCGAGTGGGCTCACACGCACACACCAAAATGTGCGCAAAGAGGCGGTGCTGAGGGGGACATTTTGTGAACTAGCTGCAAAGAAGCGCATGCGCAGCAAGATGGAGGCTCGTCTCATACGTCCCCGCAACTACACGCATTCACAGGAAGATGGGATCTCAGTCTCACACGCACACGCACCCCCACACACACGAGAGAGTCACATGGGAGGGGATCTCTTGTTCATCGTCACAAGACGCCGAGGAAGGTGGGATCTAAGCTATGCGCGGCCGACTTAGCCGGTAGCGAACTTCTTGAGGCTGGCGAGGTCGCCGTTCCAAGTGTCCTGGTCTCCGGGGTAGGTGCCGCTATCGGCGTACTGCCAGAAAGAGTAGTAGCTGAAGCCCGTTGGAATTTTGGGGCTTGACACGCCGTAGTTTGCGACGACCAGGGGGTAGTCGGCAGCGAAAGCGCTTGAGGCCACGCACTGGTTCCACCAACCGGAGCTGGTGTAGATCATGGGGTAACGACCCGTAGACGCCTTGTAGGTATTACCAAAGTCCTTGATCCAACTAACCAGGGCGCTCTGGCTGAGACCATAGCAGGTGGGCGAGCCACTAACGCTTTCGAGGTCGATCATTCCTGGGAGGGTACGACCATCGCCCGACCAACCGCCTCCGTTGGCCAGGAAGAACTTGGCCTGAGTGGCACCCGATGACGAATCGGGATGCGCAAAGTGATAGGCTCCACGAATAAGCCCCGCGTTGGTAGCACCGGTGTACTGCGATGAGAAGGAGGACGACTTGAACGTGGTGCCCTCGGTAGCCTTGATGATGACAAACTTGGCGCCGTTGGCAACCGCCGACGAGTAGTTCGGGTTGGGTTGGTAGCCGCTAATGTCGAACCCGGGCGTGCCCGACACGCGCTTCTCCAAGGGAGCACCTACGGAGAGCGAGGCAAGTCCAGCAAGCGTACCGATAAGCGCAGTAGCAGAGAACCTCATCGTGCAATCTTGTAGACCAGTTGGATGGGAATGGGCAGATGTGGTGTGAGGTAGGGCTCGGGGCCCGGTACTTATACACAAACGTGGTGCAACACGGGTATGCAGCATAAGCAGGCACCAGTGCAGCGGTGCAGCGGTGTACAGCGGCAAGATAGAGTGATCCACTGCACTGGAGTTCCTCATGCCCCTCGACGCCGCCGCCACGCTGCTGCACGTTTCAGAAGATCATGGCGAGGCCGCACCACCACTGTCGGGACCATCTTCCCCGCTGTGTCCGAAAACACACCGTACGTCCACGTTCTTACTCCCTCCCCCCCCCCACGTCCTTCCCACCGCCTATGACGAAGGGCAGCTGTCGGTTGTGGACTAGCCCCAACGTTGCGAGCTCGGTTGTTGTATTCCCCCACGTCTTGCCGCGGCACCCTGTGACACCCGAACCCGCCTCGTTGGGTGCGGCACTCGCGGCGGCATCGACCCCGCCGGGCGGATACGACCGCAAAGGTGAGAGCAACACGCTAGCGGAAGATCAGCATCCGCTCGCTTAGGCTGGCTCTTTTCCGAGAGCGCTTCGCGCCCCTCCGCACTCCGAACCCGTCCAACCCCTCCCCCTGCCATCTCTTCCTGGCCTCAGTGCTCCGTCACTGCTGGACTCCAACAAGGCTCAAGATACAGTCCAAGTGGTTCCCAGCGTGATCCCGAGCATGGCGTAGCGGTCTGAACCTTGGGTAGGCAAAGAAAATTTCATCTCGGCAACGCGCTAATCAGCAGCTCTTGTCCTTCCACAAGATCGCCCAGACGGTGCGCAAGTCAACGTGCAGCCGTCCAAGCTGACGCCATTCCGCACTGTGCAACAATGCAAACGCAGCCACTCGGTGCTCGGCTGCCCGCTCGCATCCGAACCTTAGCTCGTCTCGCTTGCACGTTGCTCTTCCGACTTCCGAATCGTTCGGTTGGCCGAAATCCCGAGCATCCCACACAACCTTGATTTGCCGCATGCACAGCCAGTGAAAGAGTGGGGGGCCGTCGAATTCGGCGAACCAAACGGACAAGTTGCAGAAGACGTGCAGGTTAGGGGGGGGGGAAGCAGAGAAACAAAACGCCGATACTGGTACAAGGGAGGACAGAAACGTGGACGCAAAGACAAGAACCGAAAGTGGATCCCGCGAAGAAGTGGGATCGGGAAATCGGCACATCGGGGGGCGATGCTAGGCGGCTATCGGCGTCGCGACGGCGCTTTCGGTGCCCTTGGGATCGTACGACTGGAGCGGCACCGACTGGCCCTGGAGGCGGAAGTCGGCGCCGAGCTTGCCGCCCGGGTGGTTGAAGGCGAACATGTCGCGGCCAAGGCCCTTTGCGCGCGTGACGGAGAAGGCGAGTGCATCGCCCATGGCGAGCGCGACGGTGGTGCTGCTCGAGGGCGCGGGCACATCGTCCCACGCCTCGTCGGTGGTGGGTCGTGGTGCACGCTGACTCGTGCGCACAGCGCGCTGCTTGCCTCCCGCACACGAGTCGCACTGAGCGGCTGTGCTGCGCTGGATGCTATGCGCCTCCACATCGTCCCCCGCCACCTCGTATTCCTCCTCGGACTCCGAGTCCGGGTCGTCCTTGCCGGTGGCGCAGTCGATCCATGCATCGGATGCCTTGACGAGCGCACTGTCGCGCTTGCCCACCAGCGCGATGATGGGACATCTGCGCATGTTGAGGTGCGGCACGAGCGCGAGGATCTCGGGCGACGACCCCGAGTGCGACAAGGCAATGACCACGTCGCGATGCGGCGTGAGCAAGCCGAGGTCGCCGTGCAACGCCTCGGTCGGGTGGAGGAACATGGAGGGCGTACCGAGCGACAGGAACGTGGCCGAGAGCTTCTTTGCGATGATGCCGCTCTTGCCTACGCCGGTGAGCACCACCTTGCCGCCGCGCTCGCCCGTCGTGGCGCGCAGCACGAGGCGCACCGCCTGGCGGAATCCGTCCTGCTGCGCCGAATACCTGGACAGCCTTCGCGCAGCCATGGCCAGCGCACGTGCTTCGCGCTGCACAATCTGCGCCCCAAACGCCAGCGCCGAGTCCAGCTCCTCCTCCACACGACGGTTCTCGGCCTCCACCGCCGCAGCCTCGCTGTCTTCGCTCGACTCGGCCTCTTCCCCCGCTCCCAGCGCGTGCGCGGGTGCAGAGTCGGTCTTGGTGGTGTGCCGCGCCGGAACGGCGGGCGAGAGGGAGAGCTTGTCCACCTCGGACGAAAGGTCGCTCACCGACGTACACGCCGAGGTGGAGGGCGAGTTGCGCTGCGACTCGAAGGCCAGAAGCGAGAGCTGCGACGTGGCGACCGAGCTCGACCCCGGGCTGAGCATAGCCGATACCGCAGGGCTGGTGCCGCCGCTCGACGCGCCGCTCGCCGAATCCGAGCCAAAGTAGTCGCTCTTGAGGTGGGACATTGTTCCGAGCCGATGCGATATTGACGATCCGAAGCTCTTGCTGAAGGTCGATCCGATGCAGCTTTGTGTGTGTGCGTTGGAGCAGCGAGGATGAAAACGTGAGCGCTGTCTCCGTAGTTTGACGGAGGAGCGGTCTTGTCGAGTCGCAGCTTTGCAGCTCTACTTTGAGCTGCCGTGTCGTCCTGGGAAAGGGTTAAGGCGAGCGAATGTCCGTGTAGGGTGAGAGCAATATGTACAGACGACCGCGACTAGTGTATGGACAGGCAAGGAGGACAGGTGCACAGGAGGATGGGGGTTGGAGCTGAGTCGAGCAGCGCAAACGTTCGGGAGAAGGAGAGTTTGATATGGCCTAGATCAGGCCGGGGCTTAGCAACCTCCACGGACCAAGCAGGCTCGTCTGCCAAGGTGGGCTGCAGCGCCGGAGGAAATTAGAGGGCGTCTGGACGGGCAACCGTGCGGGCTTTTTGCAGGCCATGTGCCGCGTGGAGCCGCTCCGATGCTGTCTGACGGCAGCGGTGCAGCGCGGTGGGAACGGTTTGGATCGACATGCACCAGCACTCCTTGACGGCCTGCTCCCCCTCATCCTGATCTCAGCTCGATAAGAAAGAGCAAACAAAAGAAAGTGGAATTTTTTTCGCGCATTTCTTCCGACGCGTCCCTCTGCACGGCCCCTCGATTTCAGCAGAATTGCACCGCCCGGCGTACGCGGCCCCCACCTTCCGCCCTTTTTTTTCTCCACTTGGCTGCTGGATGCGCACTCTGCAGCGGCCACCTCGACTCTTACAAAAGCAGACCGCCGCGAATAGATGCCGGACCCTGGATTCTCACCTAAGCTCCCTCCTGCGCCGCCCAGCCACGGCGGCACTCGTTCCCATCCTATGTAGCAACATGTTGCGGTCGCGCTCGTTTGCGTCGCTGCAGAGATGCAACGCGCGACCGCGCACGCGACACCGCCCAGTATGCCGCCAGCCTCGTCTTGCTCCGTGGCTCTGTTCAGCTCGCGATTCCAGCATAGGCAGCGGAGCAACGCATTACATGAGGAATTCCTGCCTGTGAGCTTGTGACGAGGAGGTGCGCACTGGGGTCTATGCTTTCTCATTCCCCGCGGAGTGAGTCTTCCGCCGCTATTCCTCACAAGCAGGCGAGCATTTCGTCGGTGCTCTGCTATAGCCGTAGCAAGGGACTGTTGAGAAAGGTAGAGCTGGCGCAAGGTGTATGCGAGATAGCGCCATCACGCACGTGCGTCGAGCGGCTCGCTCGCTCGCAGTGTCTCTTGGCACGCGGCACTACTGGGCACAAGCTGGCACGGGTGGGGCCCGAGGAAGGGGAGCGGCAGCGTGCAGATCGACAGCCGCCCAGCGGAGCCAGTTTCACAACGGTTTTTCGAAGCGTCGATCTCGGCGGCGCGCCTCCACTTGGCTGCGGATCGCACTCTGCCGCTTCTTACTCTAAGCGCGCCGCGCTTCAACCAGCCGCGGGCTCGACCGCGTATGCGTAGTCGCATCGGGGATACCCTTCCATCGGACAAGCATATCACCCGATTTTCATCAAGAAGGCTTCGTGCCGAGAGGAGTCCGGATCGGCAGCCTATGACGCAGGGTTTGCTCGCCGGAGATGACGAATTTCATGCATCCGCCTCATCGCGCGCAGCTGTCACACTGTGCTAACTCACCTTTCCTTGAGCTTACTTGATATCGGCCAGGGCCTTTGGTCCGAAAATCCGGTGCGGTCCCTTTGCTGAGGCTCGAGGCCGTCATCAGCTTGGCATGGTGAGACTGCTTCATCCTGCAGCGGCAATGCAACACGCCTTTGACAGTCGCTTCTCCCGTCCCTGCACATGTACACCGACTATTTCTCCGGCGAGTCGTCGGCCAGTGAGTAAGCTCGAAGCGAAAAGAATCTCCGCATCGCCAGAGGTAGGGGGTCCCATGTGCCGCTGGTTCGCTCAGCTTGCCAATTCGCCGAGCAGCGCTTCTTCCTCTTCCCTGCAGGCACAGATGCCGCACTGACGTAGCTCCTCTCCGCTGCACGCGTACCTGACAGCCGGCCCGCAGACGCAGAGTCCTGCTTCTCTCGAACCCTTTCCCGTCCTATCCTATTCAACCTCCCTCTCTTTCCTTCCTTCAGCTCTACATTCATCTCCACAGTGTCAGCTCAGACTACGGAAGAGCTCGGTCGACCACATGTCGCAACCAACACATCAACCTCATGCGGTGGACGGCACTGAGGCAGCAGCACCTCGGGGCCGCTTCCACCAGCCCAAGCATGGCTGGATGCACGAGGTGCAGAAGCGCGTCGTGGGGCAGACGCCCAAGGGCAGTCCACACGCCACACCTCGGCCGTCAAACGTAGGCGCTCAACGCTCTCGACCCACGTCGGCAGAGATCGACCGCGAGACGCAGGCCATCATCCACCGTGCCGCGCGCTACGGAGGCGACGATCCTCGCGACCCACAAGATCACGCATATGAAGACGGTGCTGCGTCCAGCGACGCCTCGACACGCGTTCCCTCATCTCCCACCCATCCCGATGGCTCCAAGCCGAAGCACGCCCCTCAGAGGGAGGAGAGCGACGACACGTCCGAGCAAGGACGTCCACGCGGAAACCCGGACGAACAGGAGGACCCGAACCAGGTTGGTTGGGATGGCCCGGACGATCCAGAGAACCCTCAAAACTGGTCGCAAAAGCGCAAGTGGGCGCTCACCTTGCTCTGTTCCTTCCTTACTGTCAACGTCACCTTTGCTTCTTCCGCACCCTCCTCCGCCTCGCAGCAGCTTGCCGCCGAGTTCGACATTGGCACTACCACCGCCACGCTCATCACTTCCATCTTCCTGGCTGGTTACTGTCTAGGTCCCATCATTTGGTCCACCACCTCGGAGCTCGTCGGACGCAAGCTGATCTTCAGCATCTCGATGCTCATGTACACGCTCTTCATCCTCGGCCAAGCACTCGCAAAGAACCCGCAGACGCTGTTCATCACGCGCTTCATCAGCGGCGTATGCGCTGCTGCTCCCCTCACCAACGCGGGCGGCGTGATTGCCGACATGTGGGACCCGGTCGGAAGAGGCTATGCCATGAGCCTCTTCTCGTGCTCCGTCTTCATCGGCCCAGTGATGGGACCCATTGTGGGCGGCTTCATCACGCAGTCCTACCTCGGCTGGCGATGGGTGTTTTGGATCATGCTCATCTTTGCCGGCCTATGCTGGATCGTCACGACCCTCTTGCTGCCCGAGACGTTTGCGCCCATCCTGCTGGTGCGCAAGGCAAAGCGACTGCGCAAGCTCGACCCCGAGGCCAACAAGGAGCTCTATGCACCGCACGAAAAGAGCGACTGGTCCTTCAAAGGCGTCATGCATCGCACGTTGCTGCGACCCTTCCAGATCCTCGCGCAGGAGCCCATCCTGGTCCTCATCACCATCTATCTCTCGGTGGTTTACGGAGTCTTGTACGGATTGTTCGAGGCGATTCCTATCATCTGGTCCGAGCTCAGAGGATTCAACCTCGGCGAGTCGGGCCTCATCTTCGTGGCGGTCGGCCTTGGAACGACGATCGGTGGCGGAATCAACGTGTTGGTACAGCGACAGTACAAGCCGCTGACGCCCTTCTGGCACGGCATGCCGCCGCCCGAGGAGAGGCTGATCGGATCCATGATTGCGGGACCGATCCTGGTGATCGGCGCATTCTGGCTCGGATGGACGGGCAACTACCCGTCGGTGCCGTGGTACGTGCCTGCGCTGTCGCTGATTCCGATCGGAATGAGCTTCACGCTTGTCTTTATCTCGCTGCTCAGCTACATTGTCGACTGCTACACGGTCTACGCCGCATCGGCATTGGCTGCCAATACCATCATCCGTTCTGCCGTCGGAGCAGCTTTCCCGCTGTTTACGAGGCAGATGTTCACCGGTCTCGGTGTCAATTGGGCTGCCTCGTTGCTCGGCTTTGTAGCGTTGGCGCTCACGCCGTTCCCGTACATCTTCTTTGTGTACGGAGCCAAGATCCGCCAGTGGAGCAAGTTTGCACCTGCGCACGACCTCAAGATCCGAAAGCAGCTCGAGGAGGAGGGCAAGCTGCCCAAGGACAGCCTCAACTCGACCAGCCTCATGAATCGCAACGGCGTCACCGAGGCCAAGAAGGCTGCCGCCGCCAAGAGCGATCCCGAAAAGACGCAGCAGCAGTAGCAGCAGCAAATCGATGCGCTGGACAGCATCACACCCATAGAAGAAATGGATACGTTAGCTCCCAATGGTGTGTCGACTCGTGATGATGCGAGCTGGGCTGTGATGTTGAAATGAAATCCGCCGAAAATGGCAGCGCGCTTTGGACGCCGACGATTCGGCTTTCTCCACCCACTCAGCGCTCGCGTGCCCTGCCAAGTCCGATTATCGTGTTTGGGTTGAACCCTGCGGTGAGGCCAATTCGTGATTTTTCTTGGATTCACACAGCCTCAACTGTGAGCAGTCAGCGGGCGTCGGTGGGGCGTAGGAGGAGGAGGTTGCACTTGGCTCCATCGCTCTTCCCTTCCTCATTCCATCTTACCTGCTCCCGGCCTTCATCATCCTTCATTCACTCTCGCTCGGCTTTCCGACCACACATCACCACGCCAGTCGCACACACAGCTGGCGTGTGAGTTTTGCGACGCCGGCCGTCGCCCACCAAAGCCTGGCTTAACTTCATTTGGACTCATTCTTGGGCGTCCGATCGCAATCCCTTCCGCCCAGCCACGAGCCCTCTCGTCTCTCTGCCTGTCTCTCTGCCAAGAGTACCACGACCGTGGATCAAAGCTGGCTGCAACAATCCTCGGCTTCTCCCACGCCGCCGTGGCTTCTCGATCGGCTTCGCCCTCCCGACATAGCGGCATGCTTCTCACGCCCATCGGGGCAACAATCGACGACAACACATCGCGCGCCTCGGCTCGACTCGATATGCCAGCCCTTTCCTGAACGCACATCTTCCGCAGCACATCTACGTCGACTCTCATCCTCTCCACGTTCAGGTTCACGCACAGCCCTCCGCCCTTGCTCTCGAATCACCAATATTGGCGCATCCATCCCGTCTCGACACGCGCAGCTCCTCCGAAACAGACGTCCATCGCCATGTCTGCCACTCCACCTCCCCACGGCGGTACATCCACTCCGGCAACGGACGCCGACATGGCCGCACAGCCAGCTGCCAACAGGTGGGGCACCGTCTCGGGCGGCCTTCGCAGCCCTCCGCCTGCGCCCTCCTCCGGTGCTGGCGTTCGGCGCAACCACACCATCCACGGCGCCCGTCATCATGGCAAGCCTCGCCTCGAAAAGCACTTCGAACAGCCAGAGGATTATCCAGCCTCTCCCTCCCTCGATTCCAACGCCGCCCAGGCAGCAGCTCCACACACCGACAGCAGCGCCGATGCCGCCCGCTCCATCGACGCCTCGGCCGATCTCCTCTCCTCTCCGTCCAGAAGCTCCGACACCTCGGCCGGCTTCGCCTCATCGCTCACCCCCCTGCAGGCTTTGTACTCCAAGTCGAGCGTCTCGAGGAATCTGTCGTTACCCAGCCGCCACTCCTCCAAGCTGGCGGCAAATCTACCTAGCAGCGCCACTCAGGGTCGCAACAGCGCATTCAACAGTCTCTCGGCCATCACCGGTGGCTCCGACCTCGACGAGCACGATTGGGAAAAGATGATCCATTCCAGCAACGCCCTCGGCGACGAGCACCATCAGGATCCGAACGCTTCCCATACCCATCTCCCCTGGTCCTCTTCTCTCTTCTCGCAAGCTCCGTCATCCCACCCAGCCTCGCCCACCGCACGCTCTGAGCTCTTCCTCGACACGCATCCGCGCAACGGCACCACGGCCATCGCCGGCTCGTTCGATCCGGCTTCAGCAACAGCAGACCCTGCCGCCGCACGCGCATCCACCGGCTTTGTGCGCCGTCACCAGTCGCTCAACCACCATTCCGGTCGCACCGCCGCCCATCGTCTCGCCACCCGCTCGTCCGGCCTGAACAGCCGCTTTGCTGGCGATGACGCCGATGTGCTCGGCCACTCCGACCCGGTCTTCAGCCCCGCACGTCCCACCGCAAGCCTGTCCGCGGCAAGCAGCCCGGTCATGCCCACTTCGTTCTCCAAGGCCCCGTGGAACCACCCCTCTCAGGATCCCATCGGATCTCCCTCCCGCTTTGCCGCCTCCTTCCCCGCCCACAACCTCGACGGCACGCACTCCAGGATGCAGTCCGGCCTCGACGCGCCTTCCTCTTCGTCTCTCTTGGAAATTGGTGACACTCTCTCCAACCTTGACCTTACCGGCTCGTCCCCGGCGCGCGCAGGCGAGGATCTCTTCGACATTCCGCCATCCAACGCAGCCTCCGCTTCGCATCTTGCCCACAGCCATGCCATGCAGCCCAGCCTGTCCGCCTACAGCAACGACGCCGACGCTCGTTCCGCAAGCGCCAAGAGGCTGCCACAGCTCGTCACCACCCGAGAGGCACTCCAAGGCGCCCACAGAGCAGCACCCAGCAACTCTTTGCCGCCCGGCCCCTTGTCCGCGTCGGCATTCGTGCCACCCATCGGCCATGCGCACTCGCGCAACCAGTCCAACGATCCCAACGGATCCTATGCGCCGCTCTTTGATCCCGTCTCCTCTCGGCTCGGCCCCTTCACCGCAGCGCCCACAGGCACCTGGCTCGACAAAGATGCCATCACCGGTCGCAGCGACGCTGGGCCCGGCGCTGCTCCAATGCCCGACTCGCAAGCATGGCCGATGCAGGCGTCCGCAGCACCCTTCGCATCCATGGGAATGGACACTAACGTCATGGCGCTCAGCATGGCGCTTGCGCAGGAGCAGCAGCGCAACGCCATCCTCCAGGCACAGCTCGGCGCCCGCCACGCCGCGCCGGGTATGCACGAGCCGCACCTTTTTGGCATGCAACCCATCGACCTCCATGCCAACACGCAGTCCATTGGCCAGCAGCTCCGGGGCGCGCCCCTGCCCGGTTCACCGCCCGTGGGCAATATGACCAACCTTCCAACGCGAGGCGGAGCGTTCCAGATGCAGCCGCCGCTGCCACACGCGCAATACCGTTCGCCGCCCCCCGCACACGCAGCGCTTGGTCGTGGCGGCGCACCACATGGGCCCGCCCAAGACGGCGAAGCCGACGCGCCGACGCCCGTCGATCCCACCTCGCTCGCCATCGAGAAGGGCTACAACCCGGCGCCGGGCACGTTTGATCTGGCGCCGGCCAATGCGCGCTTCTTTGTGATCAAGTCGTACACGGAGGAGGACGTGCACAAGTCGCTCAAGTACGAGATCTGGGCATCGACCGACAAGGGCAACCAGCGTCTCGACAAGGCGTTCAGAGAGAGCGCAAGCAACGGACCCATCTATCTCTTCTACTCGGTCAACGCGTCTGGCCACTTTTGCGGCATGGCGCAGATGCTCACGCCTCTCGACTACGCCACCTCGAGCAACGTGTGGGCGCAGGACGGCAAGTGGAAGGGCACGTTCAAGGTGAGGTGGATCTATGTCAAGGATCTGCCGAACAACCAGCTAAGGCACATTCGGCTCACCAACACGCCCGAGTGTAAGCCAGTGACGCAGTCGCGCGACACGCAGGAGCTGACGCCCGAGGCGGGTCGAGAGGTGCTGCGCATCATGGCCGACTACACGCACAAGACGAGTCTGCTTCAGGACTTTAACTTTTACGAGATGCAGGGACGTGCTGGCACTCAGCCCAGGCCAGCTATGGGCAGCCCAGCGATCAGCATGGCGGGTTTGCCGCCGCGCAACAGTCCCAAGCCGGGCGCCTCGCCTGCGCTCGCGTTCGGTCTGCCCTTCCCCACAAGCCCGGACGCAGCATACGCAGCACGCAATGCCGTCTCGCCCAACGCAGCGTCTCGCCGTGCGCCAGCCTCGGCCACTCCGCAGCGCATCCAGAGCGTCTCTGGGCTCGGTCTGGCGCCGGGCACGCCACGCAAGCCCAACCGAATCCCCGATACGGACCCCAAGCTCGATGCGGCCGCGCAGGTGGACGCGCAAAAGAGCGCCATCGAGACCGCGCACTCTGCCGGCCTCGCTCCCTCGGCGCTGTAGCATTCGAGTTCCACACTCACGCAATGTTTAACATCATCAGCACGTCACTTGCTGTTCTCTTTGCGAAAGGCTGAGTGTGACGCACCGCGTATGACGGAGATCCATTCTTGACAGCCAGCCTCGGCATGTGACGCAAACGAGTGACGCAAACGTTCTAGTGTTCGGGTCCCACTGCCACGCCTAGGCTCAGCTTCGGACGCAATGACGAGCGGGACCGACACTCGCTCTGCGCTCTGGCATTCCAATCGGACCGACAGGCGATGTGCAACATCATCAGCTGTGGCTGTGAGGACATTGTCAGTCGCAGGCCTGCAGACATTGGGTAAGTTGGCATATTGGCGGGTCTCTGCGTATCGTTGGACCAGG